TTTTTTTTTTTTTTTTTTTTTTTTGAATGGGGGGTTGTACCCCCCGACATCCGACCCCCCCGGGCCCATCCACCCCCTCAACACTCCTCCGGAAGGCCGTGTACGGAGGGCCCAAAGTCCATATGTACGGCCCGTACCGGGGGCCGGGGCCCGTACGTACAGTCGTACGGGAGTACGTACAATCCGCATTCGTACGGCCGTATACACTGACTGAGAATGCTCAGCTAGGTCTTCCATGTGTTCATCCACGTCATCCTTACAATGTATGTCCTCTCTGTCGTCAAGGACAGACTCATTGTTGAGCCTTTTCTTATCCTCTTTTGCCTTGATCTTCACTCCACACTCCATACTTTCCCTTACTTTCCCTTTATCGTTCTTTGTTTGTCTGCTCTACATCTCTCCTCCCCGTGTTTATCCCCTCCTCCTTCACTCTGCCTCTTTCTCACAGCGTACAAGTGGGCTGTTATGGCATACGGGGATGGGGGCAGCTCGCGCTCAACTTCATCAACGTGGTGAGCCTTGTACGTGAGAGGCACGGTGAAAGTGGAGTTAAAAAAGAACGATTAAAGTGAATGGTTTCACTGTGCCCTTCATGTTTGTCTTTTTTTTTTTTTTTTGCCGTTTGTTTTGCAAATTGCGCTCTTTTAGTCAATAGTTATGTGACAATATATAGTTGTAGTGGACTGTTTCATGCCTGTTTCAATCAGTACTGGCCTCCTTTGGTCTCTGCCTTGCCAATTGCTATTTTGGGAAAATTTCCCGACTTTCTTGTGAGGCCGCTGCAAAATTGTACTTTTGGGGACTTGACGTGCTCCTACCGGTACTGTACGGTACTGTAGCCCACCGACCTACGGTGTCTGATCCTACAGGCCCTAAGACTCTAAACTATTGGGGCCTGGACTGTGGTAATTAGGGACCTTGAAACCGGGACTGGGAAAGCTTACACCGTGAATCCATTCAGGTTACAGCTTTGCCTCTTCAGTCCCCAGAGGAACCGCCTGAAGTGCTGACCGGAACAAAATCTCAGCATGGTCATTATCAGTTCTGCACTGCACTTTTGTGAGTGGACCATCGATTCTTGCTGATCATGACCTTCATGAAGCTGGCTGACTTACTGTCATTTTGGTGCACCCTTGCCTAAATATACCTGCAGGTCCATCTCTCGGGCAAGATTCTAAATGGGGTGGTGATGGACAGAGATTGGACACACCACTGTTTGGTGGCCGCAGCGGAAGGAAAAAGTCTGGAGTTGTTCTTCGTCCCCTTCTCACTATATTCTTTGTAGTTGCTTTTCTGGTGATGCTTACATCAATGCGTGAAGGCCAAATACAGGTAAATAGATGTACCGATTTTTGTGTTTCCTTACCTACCTTCGTTTCCTTCTTTTCTTTCCTGCCTTCATTCCATTCTTCTTCCTCCCCCCTCCCTCTCCTTCTCCTCCTCCCTTGCTCCTTGCTCCGTCCCTCCCCTCCGGTTGTTCCGTCCTCCCCTTGCTCTGTCCCTCCCCTCCGGTTGTTCCTCCCTCTCCCCCTCTTTTCAACTTTCCATCAATCACTTCCCCCCTCCTTCGACTCTTCCTTTCACCAGTTCCACCCTTGCTTCCTCGTTCCTCCTGCGTTCCATTACTCCCTCTTTACCATCCTTACAGAGCTCCGTCCATCCATCCCTGTCTCCCTTCCTCTGTCCTGGCCTCTCCCTGTGATCTTCTTGCCTCCCCTCATCGCTGGATCCCTCCTTCCCGCTCCCTCTCCTTAAATTGTGACCTTATGGGAATGTCTCCATTCTATTCTGGGGAGCATCAGTCCACTGACTACAGATGCTATCCACCGTCCAACGGCAAGCCCTTAGTTACATCTTAGTAGAGTGGCTTAACGTCATGGATTGCATTCCATGTGAAGTCGTCTTTCCGTAAATCCTCCCAGCCTGCTCGCTGTTGTGTATTACTCCATGTGGAAGGCTAGGTAGCGGCATCCTTTCAGATTTCGTTGTAGCTCTTACGGGTCTTTAGGCTTATACCATTTTTTCCACTTGTGAGTTTCCTACTTCTATTTGGATCCACGTGGGCCACCCGTCTACGATTTTTCAATATTTGCAAAATTTCTCTCCAAGCTCTGAGCGGGCTGACCCATTAGGGGATGGCACAAGAACCTTGCGGTCCCTGTGACCGAGTTTGGATGTTCTCCTCCCCCCCCCCTCCTCCCCAAATTCAGTCCCAGGTCCGCTGAGGGTGCTGATACAGGCAGCCATCATCAGCACCTGTGACGGGCTCCAGTCTATTGGTGGGGAGCCACACCTGATGGAAACTGAGTCCAGCGTCCCTTACAAACAGTGAAAACCACATGTTCACAAATAGCAAGACACAGCCCAGATCAATGCCGCCCTAGACGCTCTGCAGGGGGGGCTGGGGCCGTGCCCCAGGGGGCAATGCTTCCCCTCTCCCGGGGCACGTCGCCATTGCAGAGATTAAGCCCGTCATTGTGGGGAGGCATGGCAGGGTGTTGATGGTGACTAACTGTGCTGGCAGGCCCTCACCAGACCTTCCCATGCCAGTCCTTTTTTCTTTTTTTTTTGTTAATATACTAGGCTATCAGAGTGGCCACGGACGCTATGCTGAATGCATGCTCTTTTGTGGGGGGCGTTCTTCCTTTATTCTGGCCTGCAATAGACATGCTATTTGTCAGGAATGTATGGTTGGCATGCTTAATGCCAGCCGTCGTGGCAGTTGTTGTTTTGAGAATGCTCAGTTAGGTCTTCCATGCGCTCATCCACCCCATCCTTACAATGTGTGTCCTTTCTGTCGTCAAGGACAGCCTYATTCTTGAGCTTTTCCCTGTGTTTAACACCTTCCCCTTCACTCTGCCTCTCTCACAGCGTGCAAGTGGGCTGTTATGGCAWACGGGGATGGGGGCAGCTCGCGCTCAACTTCATCAACGTGGCGAGCCTTGCACGTGAGAGGCACAGTGGAGGTGGAGTTCAAAGAAGAACGAGAAATTTAATGGTTTCAATCTGCCCTTGTTTTTTCTTTTTGTTTTTGTTTTTCTTTTTATTTTTGCATGTTATCACTGTGCCCGCTTTTTGCTTTTATTCTTTGTTCCGCAAAGTGCGCTCTTTTAGTTTGTAGTGATGTGACAATATATATGTTCACTGCTGCAGTTTCCATTGCTCCAGTTTCCACTGCTCCAGTTTCCGCTGCTGCAGTTTCTACTGCTGCGGTTTCCACTACTGCAGTTTTCAGTACAACAGTTTTCCTAACTGTACTTCCCCCTACTTTAGTTTTTACCGCTACAGCTTCCTGTCCTGCAGCTCCAATGCAAAGAACATCACAATTTCTTTGACGCTCACGTCCTTAGCTTCGAAAGCTTGCCCAATGCACCCTCCTCTCATCTTTGTCTGTGCTTGGCCGTAGACGACTGCGTTCCTCCTCACCACCCCCGTCTCCTCCACGTTCTCGCTTGCGAACAGACTCTCCAGTTACCATTGTTCCCATTGTTCCACCTTCGTTGCTGGGTACAAGTTCAGCTTCTGTTTGCAACACCACTACTCCTCTCGTTGTGTATCACCGACGACATCCGCGGCATCGTCACTTGTTCGGGGATCAGCAACCTGTTTCTTTGTCTGCCCCGATTCTCTCTGTGCCGCCTCCACAGGTTGTTGCGGTTCCTTTGTTTCGAACAGCAATATCCGCTCCTATGCCTCCTGCAGACAGTCCAGCTGTCTGCAGGCAGCCACCAGTCCCTACTCAGGATGCAGCCGTTGCCGAGAGTACACTCCCGACTCCAGGTACAGTTCCTACTCAGGATGCAGCCCAAAACGTTGAGGGATTGGAACATGATCTGCCCGGATTGCAGTTGACCCCGCAAGGCGTAGACCACATGGGAGATCTGCAAATGGCTGACCAGCATTGTTCGGATGAACCACAATTTTGTGCTCCACCGCGCGCAGACCACATGGGTGATCTGCAAATGACTGACCAGCAAACAACCCAACACAGTTTGGGCTTGCAACACCATCTGGGTGATTTGCAAATTGTTGGCCAGCATCCAACAAACCAGCCTGAGAACCTCAACAATCTCTGTGGTCTGGCAGCAACTAATATTTGTCTTCACATTCTCCACCGCCCTTTTTATACACCATCAGACTTCCTTGCAATCGCCCTTCAGCTTGATGCTGATCTTCCCCAACGACAGCCAGAGGATTGTAATTATACCAGCGAAGGAGGCTTTACCATTGCTGTCCTACAAGTAGCAATGAGGAACCGTCAACTTGAACTGCTCAATGCTTGAGCAGGTGAGTGGTTTAATCCTCCATCCCACGTCTCTGCCTGCATTGTGCACGGCCCTGGCCATTACATGGCCATTGTACATGCCTCTGACCACTGGGAGCTGTGGGACAACGGCACCATGGTCCATGCCATGATTGATGTCACCGATTTCTTACAAAATGATGCTGTTTTCTTGCCACAACAAACCGTCCGCAATCTCTTTTATGTCGAAGATCATTCCTCTGGACCCGTGTTGCAGCAAGATAATGTACCAACACTCTGCGACCTTCTCCTTTGCACAACCACAAACACTGTTACACTTGGCTGTAGCCGCCATCGTCTCTGTCACAATCACTACAATGACATGGTTTCTGCATCCATGTGTGCAGAGGACTGTCCCACCGTTCCTGACTGCAGGCACCCTTCGCATCCGGACAATATATGTCCATTTTGCGGCCATGGGCGCTATACTGAATGCATGCTCTTTTGTGGTGACCGTTCTTCTTTCATTTTGGCCTGCAATCGACATGCCATTTGTCGGGGGTGTATGGTGGGCATGCTAAATGCCACCCGTTGTGGCAATTGTTGCACTGAGAATGCTCAGCTAGGTCTTCCATGTGTTCATCGACCTCATCCTTACAATGTATGTCCTCTCTGTCGTCAAGGACAGACTCATTCTTGAGCCTTTTCTTATCCTCGTTTGCCGTCATCTTCACTTCACACTCCATACTTTCCCTTACTTTCCCTTTATCGTGCTTTGTTTGTCTGCTCTCCATCTCTCCTCCCTGTGTTTATCCCCTCCCCATTCACTCTGCCTCTTTCTCAAAGCGTACAAGTGGGCTGTTATGGCACACGGGGATGGGGGCAGCTCGCGCTCAACTTCATCAACGTGGCGAGCCTTGTACGTTAGAGGCACGGTGAAAGGGGAGTCAAAAGAAGAATGAGAAAAATGAATGGTTTCACTGTGCCCTTGATGTTTGTCTTGTTTTTTTATTTTTTTATTTTTGCCGTTTGTTTCACAAATTGCGCTTTTTTAGTTCATGCAAGGAACATGAGTATGGACGAAGCACAGAAATCCAGAATGCAAAATCACACTGAAGTCCAAGTATTCAAAGCCAAAGCAGATAGCACACGGAACCGAGTAACCATCCCATTGAGAATGATACAGAAGAATCGTGAGTCAATGTCCATGGCCAACAGGGCAACACCAACAGCATAACCCAAATGTAGCTCTCTTGTGAATGGCGCCAGGCCCCCTATCTACCCTACAGCCTATCCTACAACTACAGCAATGAGCAGCAACCAGACAACTTGACTACCAGCGAGTAATGATGTCAACACCAATGCCGTATTCACCATCACCAGGTACGTGTCATCTTCCCCACACTCTCCCTTGTTACCCACACAGCGCCCTTCACCTCCGAAGTACCACCTTCGCCCTCACCTCCCCTGCACCCTCTTGCGGCCCGGCTATGGCCGCCAGTGCCCTGCATGCAGACAGCGCCCTACCGCCTAGCGCTGGCCTGCTCTGTCTTAGCGCTGCGCTGCTCTGCATAGCGCTGCACACTTGCATCCGCGCAGCGTGCCCGCATATGCCAGCATTGGCCAAGATCCGTGCTGCCTCGCCCTGCTTGCCTATATGCCAGTGCAGTGTGTGGGCGGCCTCCCTTCAGCCTGTGACCGGGGCCCAGAGGCTGAAGCCAACTCGATACAGTTGGGCCCCGGGGTAAGGCAGTTGCGCCTCCTTCATCAAGGCCTGCGGCCAGATTCAGACAGTGGGCCGATTTCCCTTTGGCATTTTCGGCCTCTCTTCCCAGCATGCATTGTCGG